AGGCAATGTAGACGCACGCCCCCGCCCCGGAGTGTCTGTGCGACGTAGAGAGAGAGAGAGAGAGAGAGAGAGAGAGCAGAGAGAGAGAGCAGAGAGAGAGAGAGAAGAGAGAGAGAGGAGAGAAGACGAGAGAGGAGAGAGAGGTCTCTTTCACGAACCCTCGTGCGGCATGAGTGTCTACGCACCCGGTCCATTATTTATATGTAAACCCCCCGCCAAAGACACTGCTTTCGACCACACGGTCGTTAACCCTTACAGGTTATCTCCCCCAAAGGTTTCATACCCGTCCAGTGAGTGCCAAACTGCTTCTTAATTAGTCTAATGAGCATGAACAGTTTATATTCGCGGCTCGACTTGACTGTCAATGAACTAAACACCATAGACTACCATGGCCATTTGCTGGCGACAATGTGCTCACAAAAGGCAACCGCGGCGGAATGTTGGGTTGGGACGACTCCGTGATTGCCTCACCTTTCTTCATCGCGATGAAATGCAATTTCCCCTCCACAACAACGCGCGCATCCCACAAATGCGGTTTTATGTGAAAAACTACGCCCAACCCCACAGAAACACTATCGTATTTCATACAGCCCCTACACTACCACGATACCCACATGAGTGAATGGCCTGCTGCTGCTGAATGCGTCGGGCAAGTGACTGGAAAAAGTAAAAAAAGTTATTAAATCGTTTCAGATAATAATAATGATAATTCATTCTATTTAGAGACACCTTTCAAAGCACCCAAGGAAACCTTACAATTCATAAAATATTTGAAGGAAAGGTTTAAGACAGTCCAAAGAATGCAGTCCGGGGGATGTTTCTTATGTGGGGTGCAAATGAGAGGGAGCTGTCCAGAATGACACCATGTCGTGTTTGATTGTGCTCTTGATAAGCCATTAAAACAGTAAAATACGTGTCTCCTGTTCACCAAAACATACCCATCTGTTATGGAAAAAGAAAGTTTTCCAAAAGTATTCTAAAAGTAATCTGAATACGTAACTTTTTTAAGACACGTAACTGTAACTGTATTCGGATTACTTTCAGAGCCATGTATTCAGTATTCAGTAATAATTACATTTACAAAGTAACCCTGCCTATTGCCTAAAAATAGCATGATAGGTGCACTTTAAGTTTTCCCATTGTTATGTATATGATTTGAAATGTAGTGACACCCAGTGGTTGTTTTGAAAATGTCACCCTCACTAAGAGGAAAGCAGCCCTACACACACACAATCTGAAACACTGGTGCTAAGAAGAATGGGCTGAAGGCAAAACATATCCTACACCAATTGTCGCTATCGATATCTATTGCTGCTACAAACCAAAACATTTGCCATCAGAATAACTTCAAATATAAAAATATAGAAGGAGCTGTTATCAACCATGTGCTTCCTCTTTCAGCCTCTCAAACGTCTCAGGGCACATACACTGTTTCCTGTGTATTTAAAGAGGAATTGAAAGAATTGTGATACATGAGAATATGAATAACTCATGGAAAGGAAGCAGAACCATGTGTGTCGTGCTAAGACATCTCATGTTATTGACAGGAAGCTGTTGCTCATATCCTTTTCACCTTAAGGGTATTCACCACATTCCAACACAATAAAGATATCCAATTGTTTGAATGGCCATACAATCTTTCTCAAAATATGTTTATTGGAAGGTTTAACAAGTGAGAAGTGACCCATTTGCTAAAAGGGATAGTTTGGATGTTTTGAAGTAGTGTTGTGTCAGTTACCTAACCATAGTCACTGTATAACCTACACTGTACACAGTAGAAAATCAATGTATTGCTGTGTGCGGGGGGGCGGCAGCAAAACATTACAGCTATGGGAAAGAAAAGCCCTCCTAAAAAAATCAATATCAGTTTAAGTGTTTGCTATATTTAGAATATTTCCTTCGTCAGACCGCTGTTTCCGACGGGAAAACTGAAGCCCTACTCAATGCCACCGGTCCTCATGACAAAAACAGCAATTATACCGAGCAGAACAGGTGAGAGCGAAGATGAATACAGGCTTCAGATCCCTGTCTGACAAAAAGGCCTGCCTGCTGGCAAGTTTAAATGGTGTAAATATAATAGCCTAGACTTATTTAGATTTTTGTATGAGGGCCTTATTTTTAGATACTCACACTACATTTTTACATGTGGCTGCTGTCATCATCCACAGCAGTACTTTCCTGATTGTACTCATTTCTCATGAGAACTCTATTCATTTCTCTTTTTTATCTTCCTCTTTTTCTTGTACAGGTTATAAATGTCATTGGTTTCGAATAATATGTGTTTTTATTTCGAATAATATGTTTTTTTTTTGTCATTTTGGTTAAGAAAAATCACTTGTATAATATTTAGTATTATATTTTGGTTCACATTTGAAATATTTTATATTTATTTTTTCACTATTTATAATTGTAGAAATTTTTTTTACATTTTGAAAAAAAACGAAATTCCATAAAAAATGCATGCGGGTCATTTTTGATCACTTATGGAAGCTTGGGGTAGAAATAAAAAAAACTACAATTTCTTAAAATGTAAATTTTAAAATTTGAATGGCATGATGTTTTTTGAGGAATAGCTGGAATATGAAATGATAAAAAAATGTAATTAAAAAGATACTCTCAGAAAACCACCTCACCGGGTCAAAAAAGACCCACTTATGCATCTAAGGGCTAAGACTTAAAACCATCTTAATCTAGGTGATCCATTACTTCTATTGCATATTTATCAGTGGTCTTATTGCTCTGAGATTTACCAACAAAATATTTGCATTCATCCCAGAAGATACTGTGAGAGAACATGGACACTGGAAATGCAACACTGAATTTGCTTTTCGATTTAGCTGTCGTGTTTTCGTTTTACCCAATTATTTATAATAGCTGACAAGCCTGTAAAACAGTGACTTCATGTAAATGAAAGAAAACATACTTCCAGTTTTGCCTATAATAAAAGTACTGTTTGTGAAATGCCAAATACAAATGCAAATATTGACCTCTACCAAACTCTCCAAGAATATCAACTCATGAATATGTTATGGGTGGTAGAGTGGAAGTAGACAGAGAGGGGATGTTTTGTCTGTATCTCCTCACTCCTAAAAAAGTGTTTTTCCGTCTAGAATGACTTGGCTGTGTCCTGTCATTTTGGAAGTCCCTGTTCATCTTCACAGCTTTCTGAAAGAGAAGAGCCTTGAGCAAGCACGAGAAACGTCTGACAGTCACGTTCAGACAAAGATTTAATATATCTAACTTTTAAATAAGCCTGCACTCCATAAAATATGTTGGATTGTCTGAAACCCCGCCCACTTGAGAGACCACACACAGGAACAGAACACACCCTGTCTGTTTCTGTCTTTCACCAACAGATCTTTTTATTTTTCTGTACTATTCTGTGTATTCTGTGTTATTACAAGCGCCCTCCTCCTCTGATGTCTGTGTTTTGTTCCCCTTGCAGAGCTGTGTCTGAGATGATCTGCAGATTGAATCCACCCTGGAAGACCATGCTGTCCCTCCTGCTGACCGCGATGATGGCCCTCCAAACTATGGGTGGGTGTTTAACCCCGTTAGACCAGAGTCACCGCAGTATAAATGCCTCTGCCTGTTAAACAATACGCCCTGCAGAGCCTATTAGTCTTCCCCCTTCAAAGGCTTCACTGGGCAAAACAACAGTTTAAATGAGGCAACTCCCAACAATAATGTGCTGAAAGTTTGAAAGTTATAAATGTTTAAACTCTCATCAATCCAGAAAAGTTACCACAAAAACATTTTCTTATTTATATAGATGTCGTTTCTCAGGTAGTAAAAGACAATTTTACCCTATTATATGGCTGTGAGTTTTTATATGTTTTCAATAATTCAGCTTGTAAAACAGAATAGCTTTGACCTTTTGCAGACAGGTGAGGAATGGAGCGTTGGGCTTGGGTGAGGCCCTCGATGAAAAGTGCCAGAAGTGCAGTTTTTCTGCTCTGACTCAGGGAGTGTGGGGAACTCATCGTCTTATATTTATAACACCGGGAAGCAGCGCTGTGGTTGATGTTGCAACTGAGGATTCATAACTCACACACTCAAAAGTTTGACTTCAATAGAAATGGTGCTCGAGGAAGAACTTGTGTCATCATAAAAACAAGACAAATAGCCTGTACGGGCTTGATCGCGTCTCGAGACACGGTGAATAAAAGAAAATACATTTGGCATGTCAAAAGTTGGATCAACAGTGTATATTTTAGCACCACACATGTCCCAACTGCTGTGTTGCTGACACATATCATAGTAGGTGATAATGTTTTATATTATTAAATAGCCTGAAGAAGAAAGAGTAAGAAAGCCTTTAAGGGTTTCTCCAAAAATGAACTTACTTTGACAAACCCACAAAGTTCACAAAGAACTTATATCATCCAAAATGCCATCATTTAAAAAGAGCTATTTTTTGCCTGTTCGGCTCTCTGGTTGAGCTGACACAACCTCCTATCGGCCATCAGTGGCACATTTCAATCTTGACTCAGTGGACCTAAGTGTCTTCAGTGGTTCATTAGGGACCTATTCTCTCCCAGCACAAATGGCCCCGCAGCCTGCTCATTACCGGCTGTGCGGCATCCGGAGCCTAACTCGCTGCTCTCACCGGGGGGGGGAAGAGGAGGAGGTGTCGGGCACTGATGGAGCTCTTTAACTCACGGGTAATGGGCTATTGTTGCTCACACACTGATTCAGTTTCTCTCTGCTAACTGGAGCACTAAGTGAATTAGTTGGAGTCTAGTTTGATTCTATAGTCTGTAACACTGTATGATGAAACAAAAACACCATGCTTATTTCATTTAGTAACTTGAACTGTGCAAACAGCTTCCAAAGACTTTCAGGTTCTTTCAGAGCAAGAGAGACAAAGACAATGTGTTTTGGTGACAACGTATTTCTATTTGTTTTACCAGTATAGGACAGCAGAAATGTTCTTGATGAATAATTAAAGGTCAATTTGGTTTTCCTTTGATTTATAACCAACCGTGTTTTGCTTCTGTGGGCACCCTAAACAAAAACCCTACAGACTTGTATAGTTATAAGAGCAGCTGTGTTTGAATATGTGTGTGTCTCTGTCGATATGAGTCAGGCTCTCCTAGGTCTCCAGTTCCCTCGCTGGGATTACTGGCTGTAATCTTCCTTGTATTCAGCCTTGTCATTGCTCGATAACTCCTGCAAGTGCCCATATCAGTAGACACTATTACACTTTGTGGTCTCTGCCAACACACTTCCTGTCGTGAGAAAAGTATTTGTAAAAGAAAAAACCACAAGGACAGTGCATGACAACACTGTCATCCCGACGCAGTAACATCGCCTCTGTAGCTACCAGCTGTATCCTGACTCACTAGTCAGATGATGGATCATTCTCTCTGAAACCTCTCCCTGATGTTACTCATACACAGCTGTTGTGTCACTGCAGCGGTGAAGAGGCTTGACTGTGAGGGGTTGTTGATTTTGTGCTTAAATGCACTATTAAGGAAGCAGAAGGGATACAAAAATATGCTCCACCAATCAGCTTTGACCATTGACTCTACTGGATGCTTAGGTGTATTTGTACCGCATTTATTATAACCCAAAGTGTTAATAAACGTCAGCAAATTCTTGAATCTACAATGAATATGTGCAGTAATGACTGCTTCACAACAGTAGCTGTGTACAGTAACATCTTTGGCTCACTCCAGCACAGTGTCAGACAGTGGCAGAGCTAACAGGAGGCTGTCTAGCTAATTGCTTGTTGTTGTCGTACTCTGTGTTCAGTTAGCACAGCCACCAGGCTGCCAGAGCTCCCTGTGTGCAGCTCTTAGCACCCAAAGAATGAGCGAGAACTGTATTCACGCAAATGCAAAAGAATTGAAAGCTGACCTGATTTCACTCGCAGTGATGGGAGCTGTAAGGTAATTCAAATTAATTAGCATAATTGGATAGATTGCATCTAGCATAGCAGTCGGCAGGCCCACATTATGGCAGGGCTGCAGAGCGTGAAAATAGCCCGCTCGTGCCTGCATCTCTGGTGTACTTTTTAAAGGTCTGCTAACTATGAATGCCCTCTTCCTGTCCTCCTTTTCTCTTCACAGCAATTGATTTTGCAGAGAGGGGACACTTTAGTCTGCGCTGAAATTCAATTTAGGGTTATTACCCCATATCAGTGATGTTCTTGCTAATTTGATTGCGTCAAGTGAAGTATCCTTTTAAAAACAATCGAGGACAGGCTCAACAAAGATTGGTTTCGCCGCAATGCATACATAATCACCAGTCTCTGTTGGCTTGCCTCTGTCTCACCGTTCCCCGGCTCTTCTTTTTCTCACAGTGCGCTCATTGAAACAGAGTGCATTACCCAACAAGCACCTCATGATTATTTCAACAAGTCCTCAAAATGCTGCCTTGTGGGAATCGTTAAAAAATTGATACGGTTAATATGCCGAGATTGCAGTTCTGGAGGGGAAGAGGGGCCCAGAGCCATATGTGGGTCTGTTGTGTGCCTAGTGGGCTGTGATGAATGATGCTGATCTGTGCTTGGAAAGCATCACAGCTACTGAGTTGCTGAGAAAGCTTCACAGCAGCTGACACTGGGAGACACCCACCTCCAGAGTGAGGCTGTGGTGACGCGGTGTTTGTGATGTCAGGGCCGGGGGCTCTGTCATCGAGACATCGCACAGCTGGCGACCAACTAACCCCTGTTTAACCTCGTGTCACATCTGGTGCATGGAACCACGAGGCAGGATATGAACCAGTGAAAGAGCTAAACAAAATGTATAAGGCAGCATTTGGAAAACACTGTCCTCATTAGAATATAAAAAGACGTGCTTTTCTCTGATAGTGGCTGTTATTTTTTGTATTCTTTATTTTTTAACACTTACATGAACTTATTATGTTTCATTTATTTATTATAGTATTATTTATTTTATTTTTTTATTATTTTATTTGATTCTAATAATGGAGCAAGTGTCAAAAAATCCTATTTCCCCTTAGATACACAAAGTATTAAAATTGTTATTCATAGTGTACACTCTATGTAGCTGGCCATTATGAGAAATCAACTGCACTCAACTCAGATCTGACCTCTTGACTCCCTGATACCTTGTGAGACTCCCCCGCTCTGCCTCGTTTCTTCACCAGCCTCCTGCTCATCAAAGGCTCGCTGTCTCTCAGGCTCGTAAGCCAGAAGCTAGTCCTTATCAGCCCACTGTCCTTTAGCCGGCCCTATTATCTGACTGCCGGAGCCCATTAACAGCTTATTGACAGGATATGAGATGGCGCACATCTATGAAGGAAGCAAGACAGAGCGAGCAGCGATAGTGAGCAAGAAATAGAGCTAAAAAAGGGAAAATAGAAAGACCCATTTTGTTTATGACATGGCTGAAAATAAGCAAGTCAGAGTCCTTGTCTTCCCTATCTGCCATCACCTGTATCTCCCTGAGTGAGGGCACTCACACTCTATGACGAGTCCCTGCAGCAGAAATGGTAAAAGGAGAGATTATGTTCACAGCTTAATGTTGAAAGTGACCCCTGCACACCGCAGAAGGCTTTAAGTGTCACCTAATCTCATCCATATTGGGCCTCTTCAAAAGAAACGCTGCTTAATTCACAGACTGTTTTTGAGATTGCTAATTTCCAAACAAATCATGCTTACTATGGACGCAGTCGCTTAATATTTTCCCAATGCTAATTTTTTTTTCTCCAAATGGACATCTACATCTGCTCCTGACACCATGAAATCAAAAGCTAGCTTCCCCTGAGACTTTTTACCGGGATTGGATATATCATAAGAATAATCGGTATGAAAGGGCTCAAAGATCCTTTGAGCAAAAAGCCTTTGATGTTCTGGTGTTGCAAAATGTCCAGGCTGGAAATGTGTAGAGCTGAAGTCACATTCTTCAACAGAAGGGGGCAGTGTTGTAAAAGCAGACTTCTCCTTCTCACCCTAATGCTATTGCAGTCTGTTAGTATTGCACCTGTTTACTTTGCCGTGTCAATATTGCCCCTCCAGTGCTAGTGCTTGACTTTCCTTATGTGTGAAATCCTATTGATACTTCCTCCAAATTAGTTTTCAGCAGGGTTTTAGACGTACCTTTTTAAAACAGGTGTACATATGGTGTTTAACAAATGACTCCACACAGATTGTGTAAATAGCTCTATTCACTCTCTGTTATTGAACATCACCATTTTGTACTTCTTGAGGAGAAGCTGTGAGGTGCCATTCTCTGTGAGGTTGTAGTGATATTGGAGGGAGTCAAGTTGGAGTGACGTTGCCCAGAATTTGATATTAAATTGCATGTTGAAATGTATGTGTGTATGTGTTCTCAAGATCGATATATGAACTGCATCTGAAAGCATCTGCATCTTAGTTGACTAAAACGCATTATGATATTTTGGACTAATCAATGAGTTGATTTAAAAGACAGATGAATGAATCATAAAAAGCACCACTTTAAAGCCTATGCTGGATGTGCTTGTAAGATTCCTGGAAAATAAGTCACTCAGCATGAAAAAGGTAAATCGACCAATCACTTTCCAATTTTTTTTATTGACTATAATGA